AGGAATGACTTGATATGTTCCCAATCTTCATGTTTCAGTTGAAAGTACATTAAACATCAAACAAGGCGGCACATGTTCAAAGGTGCCATAAAACGCATTCATGCAATGTGTTAAATTGTGCTACGATGTAATCTGAACAGAATGCATGTAGCTTAGGTAAAATTCTCCAGATTTTTTTTTTTACCGGTCCATCTCTAACCCATGCTGGTGTGCTGCTATGGTAATCTGAGGGTGAGAAGTTAAAACAGACTTACAAAAATTGTTCACCTCAATCTCAAAAGATTTTGGACACAAATCTTAACAGCATTGGGCATGTGTATGAGGTGAGAGTCATACAGAGGGCTATGTCAGTTTTAGTAGATGAGAACCACGCACCCCATCAGGCAGAAGGTATACTTATTTCAGATGAGCTAGGTCCAAGAGATATTTGCTTTAATTTGTTCCGACTGCAGTTGGGCTACTTATCAAGCTTTAAGTATTTGCTTATGTACATTTGATATACCTGCTCTTGAACATGTTTTAATTGGTAATTTTTTAATTAATATTTTACTTGATCAGGATTAACTTTATTGTTTACTGTTATTTCTATGGGCGAGGCAGTAGCGTAGTAGGAAGTGCTTTGGCCTCAAACCAAAAAGGTCGCTGGGTCGCTAGTTCGAGCCTCAGCTCAGTTGGCGTTTCTATGTGGAGTTTGCATGTTCTCCCTGCGTTTATGTGGGTTTCCTCCGGGTGCTCCGGTTTCCCCCACAGTCCAAAGACATGCATTACAGGTGAATTAGGCTAAATTGTCCGTAGTGTATGGGTGTGTGTGTGTGTGGATGTTTCGCAGAGATGGGTTGCAGCTGGAAGGGCATCCGCTGCATAAAAACTTGCTGGATAAGTTGGCGGATCACTACGCTGTGGCAATCCCGGATTAAAGGGACTAAGCCGACAAGAAAATGAATGAATGAATGTTATTTCTATGTTTGTTTGTGTATTGATCTTTGTCAGCTATTGATGTAAAGCAAATTGCCCTACAATAAAGAAATTCCAATCCAATTCCAATCCATGGTATTTAGCTCTAATGTGATATGGTTGGTTTTGACCATATTTGGAAGGGTCGTTAATATTAATAGGCTCTGCTCTGTCACTCCTGCAGCTCATGCAAATTCTTAATCATCCTTCAGATGTCATAAAATATTGGAACAATTTAAGTAGATGACTTGGTAAATGACAATCTTTTCAGATGTTTAGCTAGGAGTGACTGAGCTATCCTGAAGGGTTGTTCACACCAGATGTGGCATGCACAAATAAATTGCACTATTCACATTTAAAGAGACGTGTGAGCATTTTAGGTTTGTTAGCTTAATTTGCTTTAAAGTTGTTTCTTTCGTGCATGAAATTCACTCAACAATATACATGGATTTAAGTCATGGGTAGGGATTCTGTCTCCCAGGTGACTCTAGTTTTGTTGCTAAATGGCTATCATGGTTTTCATGAAGAGATCAGCTGTGCTATATGTAATTTAGGAAGAATGAAAAACGGTGTAGATTCGTTTGGCGCTGTCCGAGCCTACCAGATCCTTACAGAGTTGCACCCAGCTCTGAGTTCATCAACTCCTCCAGAAACTACCTGGATGAGGGAAGCTTTCACAAGTGCTTTCAACTAAGCTGAGCCCATTTTGATGAGCTGTTCTTTCATGTCGGCAGGAGGATTTCCCCCTGTGACACTAACGATAGATGATATGTCATATTTACACCTCTACAAGAGCAAGCTCCTGTATGTGTGAATGTCGACTGAAGTTGAGATTTTCCAAAGCAAATGCTCAATCCATGCTGCTTCAATTGCATGAATCGCGTCATTCGCACGACCTCATGGATGTCTATTCATGTCTTTGCATTTACTTGTACATCACTTGCGCTTGACGCTTTATCCGCATCTGATGTGAACGCACCATTACGATGCCAGAGTATTTTTCTCCTGAGTTGTGTTGTGGGTGAAATATAAACTACATTACTATTATATTATATATACACAAGATATATATATTATATATACACAAGAAATGGTTCAGACAGATGTATTTAGAATTGTATGTTGTGGTTTTAATGTATCTAAAATCACAGGCAGGAATTCATATCAACCTTCACATAAACAAGGGAGTTTGTGAAGTTTATTGACATCATTTTACTACGGAAGATCAGAGTAAGAGCTGAGTGATAAGAATTATGTCATTAAATAGCAGCAAACTCTCTGCAGCTTTTACATTGTCACCCACTGAAGCTCAGCAGGGCTGCCCCAGGATAGCATATGGATTGAAGAACACATGGGAAAAATAGCAGGGGGTACCCATCTTGTGCTCTGAGTGTGAATTATTGTTATTAAATCATCACCACAGCAAAATGAACAGCCAACTTGTTCAGCATATGTTTTATACTAAATAAAACATATGCTGCAAGGCCCTTCCAGCTGCAACCCATCCCTGGGAAACACCCATACACTTCCATTCACACACATACACTGAACAATTTAACTAACTCATTTCACCTGTACTGCATGTCTTTGGATTTGTGGGGGAAACCGGAGCACCCGGAGGAAACCCAAGCCACCACAGGAAGAACATACAGTTGACATTTCCTCACAGAATTGTCAACTGGCCCAGCTTGGGCTCGAACCAGCGACCTTGTTGCTGGGAGACAACAGCTCTACCCACTGCGCCACTGTGCTATAAATTAAACCTATAAATTATATATAGTATCATTTTCTATAATATTTTGTAAAAAATGTTTAATGTTTATTACATCACAAATGCGCAAATTTGTCCCCCACCCTCAATCATGGAGCAGTCCAGCAGACAAATTCCATAAAGGTTTAGTTTTATAAACGAAATAGTACAAATACGTACATATTCTGGAAAGTGCACGAAGGGTATCCCTGGGGCACCATTGCTTTGTGCCACCCCCCAGCAAGGGATTGTGTGCATTTAAAAAACGAAGTAAAAGCTATTTTTTATAATTGTAACAGGCCTAGTTAAAGTAAGTAAACTGAGGCTATGTTCACACTCAACTTTTTGAAGCTGCTCAGAGGTATTCTTGACTGTCATAAAACCTTTATAATCATTATATAACAAGTCATGAATATGAATGAGATTTTATGCATGTTTATGACAACTGTCAAAATGTCTTCTTCACTCAGTTATGTCATATTAAATGCAAAGGTGACATTTTTTGAGAAGTCTTTGTTTTGCCAACTTGACATAAACAAATAAATGACAATCTGTCTGACAATCTGACTTTTTAGGGCCTTAAATTTCGATTTTAAAATTCTAGACTTTTTTAGACCTCACAGAAACCCTGAATAGTTAAAACCAAATGACAAAAAATAGAGTTTATCACGTTTTCAACCATAATCTTTATATATTCTTATTATTTTTTAAGACATCGATAGTTATACCTCTTTCTTGACTTCACACAAAACAGTTGCAGAGACATAATTGATTATATGCTGGCAAAGTAAAACACGGAAGCAGCTTAAAGCAGAAAGCACGAGTATCTTTATAAATACATGCAATTTATTGGGTAATTTAACAAATAACATAAATAATACTTGGCACAACTACTCTTTTTACATTACTGTGGTGGTTAGGTTTAGGGTTGGGTTTGACGTTAATAAAATATGATTAATGGGAAATTTAATAAATAATATAAATAATTCTCGTTAACTTCCTTCCTCAACCATATCTGTTCTAGCAACAACCCAAGTATGTCTACGATCTGGAGGTATTAAAAATTTGATGACAAGAACATTGTCATAGCAAACTGTAGGATATGTAAACTTGCATTGCAATTTTTGACAAGTCATGTTGTCTTGATAATGTCAAGTTGTCATAACAAAAACAAAGGCGGGTTCTAATATACTTGTTTGTCAAGTTGTAATATTAAAGACATAAAAAATGTCATTTTCAAATGACATAACTAAATGAATGACACTTAATAACAGTCGGCATGCATAAATCCTCCTCATATTCATGACGTGTCAGGTTTTGATTATTAAGATGCCATGGTAGTCAATTGAAACCCCCTTGAAGTAGTTTTAACTTCATATTTACTTATAATATCTAGAAGTCTTTTAAACTTTTCTGTTCAAAATGTTGAAAGCCAACTTCCATTCTTGACAGCTGACCAATGACAAACGAATAGCGAGGCCTGTCTTTTCCATAACAACATCTGAAGTCAAAATGGAGATGGTGCTGGTCGGTAGACTTATTTCAGAGCACAAGGAGTTCTAAAATAGGCTGTGTCTTTCAACAGGAGCTCTTAAATTGTTAAAAGCACCATACAATTTCCTTCCTCTTGTAATGTCAGGAACCCACAAATATCATTGTGATTGTGAACTACCATTCTCCTCCCTATTAACTTCAAAAACCAGCGCAAGTGGCAACTTCCTCTTTCTCAACATTTCTGCACAAGGCTACTTTTGTATCTGTTGTTATAGCAACAAGATGCCCTTTCTGTTATTTGTGTCCAAAATGCTGCCAGCTTTTTCAAAACAAAAAGGGACCTTTGTCAACCTTCTCTTGTTAAAAAGATGATACATATGAACACCCCCTATAGGTCACAAGTGTCAAATTCAGTTCCTTGAGGGCCACAGGTCTGCACAGATTGGTTCCAACCCTGCTTCAACACACTTACCTGTAGATTGCAAACTAAACTGAAGGAGCCAATTAGTTTGATCAGCTGTGTTTAATTAAGATAGGAACTAAACTGTACAGAGCTGTGGCCCTCCAGGAACACCTGTGCCCTAGGTTGATGAGTACTTGCAAAGTTCCTTACAGTCCAAGTAAACAGACCATATGCAGACACTCTACTAATACTCTAGTGACTGGACGTTGACCTCTAATTGAAATTACAGAATTACAAAATGAAGCGTTACCTTACTTTTAACTCCAACTTGACTACAACAAACAAACTTCCACCACCAAACATACAGGCAATACTTTTTGAATCTGTCTCAGCACTTACCCACAACAACAGGTAAAACCCTCATGGCTTTTCTCTCCCTTCCATTGATCTTCGCCCTCTTCTTTCTCTGGGTTTTTTGGCCATATTGAATGTCAGAGTAGGCCACAGTTTGTATCGTGCTGTTCTTATACTCTGGTGGGAAGGGGCAAACGGGCTGAGTGAAGTCGTCAAGTTCTTCAAGACTAGACTGGGCCAAATCCCTCTCAATGACCCGGGGCAGAGATGCAGGCAAAGCCCCTAATGGCGGGAGAGCAGCAGCCACCGCAGCGTGCTGTAAACTCCGGCAGGCCTGGATACTGTTCCTCAGTTTGGCTTTGCGTGTTTCTTCCCACTTGCGCAAACCATGGAACATCCCAAAGTACAGCATGAGCATAATGGGGCACGGGATAAAAAAGGAGCAGACGGATGAATACACCACATAATTGTTGTCCTCGAGTTTGCATTCACTGGGGTCTCTTTGGGGAACATTGTTTATTCCGAAGATGACAGGAGATGCTACGGCAAGCGCCAACAGCCAGGTTGCAGACAGTAAGATAATTTGCCGATAGTCAACATGTTTTCTGTTGTAGTTCAGCGGGATGGACACGGCTATAAACCTGTTAACAAAACACAAATTAGACTTTACTACATGGATTTAAAAAGTCAAGACTTTTTACTTGAAGTACTATGATCACAACAGAAACAATAGTTCATACTTGGCAACTTTGGTTAGTTTAAAATGAACTAGTTGTTATTGCACTCTTAAGGCTGCTTTATATCTCTGTGCCGAGAGATCAGTGTGATGGTGCCTTCCTTGCGTGTAGTTTTGTATTTATATTTCTGCATACTGTTTGTATTGCTCTGCAATAACACTTCTAGAACACTAGTTAGTAGTAGTTTTTATGTTCCTCTGAGTCGAGTTTCTTAACGGGTGTTTTTTTTTTTTTTTCTTTTTTGAGCGCTATTTTAATGTACAAGTAGCTAAAACTCATTCATTCAGAGGTGGGAACCAGCAGACGTGCAACAACTTTAACCATAAGGTAAACACAAAACATCTGGAGCTCCTACATGGGACTCAACACTTGTAAACACTAATTCCATCGGGCTCATAGCTCTCAGCACCGCCCACACTCGACACAGCTACCAATCATAGAGCTTGCGTTAAATGTTGTTGCGAGGTGTGGTTAAATTTTTTAAGAGATCAGTGTTGGCGTCAGCTATGGCGAGGGGTATGGGGCCGCACGTGCCTGTGCCCATGACCGTGCAGTTGTATAAATCAGCCTTTAGGGCTCATTCACACCAAATGGGTCTTCTAAAACTGTGAGACACAAGGGTTCGGTAATAGTTTGATAAAAAGAAAAAGAACAGCAAAACCTTCAAGGTATCTGGGCACAGCAGCAGAGCACCTGTAAACAGAAACTTGCAATGATTGCTTCAAAAGACGTGAGGCTTGAGTGTAATGATCACAAGCATCTATTAAGCATGTGTTTACAATGAAAAACTATTTAAAAATAGAGCATTGGAAAGAAAAAAACATTCTATTTGAACCGTTCCTTAGTGCAGGCAATTAAGCATAGTTTATTTATAAACTCGTTTCGAGAGGACCAAGTGCTTATGATTGAACACGGCTGGTACCGCATCAGCTCTGTTTATTGCACCATATTTAACCAGAGTTTTCCACTACAGTCATCTTCGTCTTAAGAAATCCCCCTTTCACCCCTACTCCTCCCCTTCTCCGATAGGGCGGCACGGTGGCCCAGTGGTTAGCACTGTTGCCTCACAGCAAGAACACTGCTGTTTCAGCCTCTCACCAGGCAGGTCAGCGTTTCTGTGCAGAGTATTCATGTTCTTCCTGTGTTTGCGTGGGTTTCCCCTAGGTTTTCCAGTTCCTGCCACCGTCTAAAGACATACACCATAAGTAAATTGACTACTCCAAAATAGCAGCATATATCTTAGATAGAACTATCTCGGCACGTTCACACACAGGTGAGTTCCCGAGACATACCTGAGCTCAAACTCTCCTCTCGCACTTCAAACGGGAGGGAGCCCTGGGCTCGAGGATCTTCTGAGCTCCTCCAGTGACAGCATGCCAAATACGCTTTATGATCAACCATCAGCTAAGTGTGAACTCTTGAAAATAATGTAAGTTTGAATATTGCATTCAACCCAAGCTCATTCTGATTACATAACCCTATATACATTTCTGGAAAGCGGTAAATACATTCCAAGAGCTAGGTTCATTTGCAGTTTTTGTTTTCACAAATCCACTAGAGAATGCTGTGTATGCTTTTTGAGAACTCAAATTTCTCTCGCGAGAGCCATTCATGCCTGCTCTTCTCACGTAAATCCACCACTGTTCACTGACTGACTGAATTACCCCACCCTTCTCCTTCCCTAACCCCAACCGATAGTGTTTTAAAAAGCACAGACTGCCAAGCATTTTACCAAAACTCCTTTCTGTCTTAAATTCTTCAACAGCGATAAACTAGTAACAGCAGAAAAGCCGTCCGCACAGAGGTAAGCGTGAAAGGGAACTGCATCATACCACCTTATTGTGTTCGTTTTAAAGATGAAATGCAGCCATACGTTCCTCTGGCTGCATAATTCACGTCCTCCAGAAATGTATTTAGGGCTTAGTTTTCAGAATGAGCCTATGTTGATTGCATTTGGCATTGGATTTGCAGCGAACAAGAACATTAAGACAACTGAAAAGGATGATAGCAACATGGACCAAACAAAATAGTACACGAATCAAGAACATTGTCAAAAAATTTCATAGAACTTAAGTGATTCCTCTGCAAAAAAAACTGTACATGACTTTGTTTACCTACTGTATGTCTTCTCTCCAGCATCAGGTTAGGGTGTGTTTACTACTGGCAGTTTAACATATTACCATTAGTCAGCAGCGCAAGCAGATGCAAGAGTTATATTTCCTGTAGTTAACAAACATCCAGAAGACATAGCCAAACTAAATCCTTTTTCCAGTGTTTTGGTGAAGTGTTCTTGGAGCTTCGTGTGTTTACAGCTGAACCACTGAAGTCACATGGAATGTTTTGTTTTGGCTCCTTTTCTGGATATTAAATGTCTCATAACCGTTGCTGTCTATGAAGGATGTTATTTTCCGGTGATAAATATTGTGATAGGAATACAGTTTAAATAGCACTATTTGATGGCTTTCTGGGGATTCTAGCAGAATTTGGGTACAGAAATTTAATAATTACAATGCAAAAAAACTTTTCTTACTTTGCTTTGTCTCATTTCTAATCCAAATATCAAAGTTTCTAGATCAAGTAAAAATATTGTTTTGTTTTCAAGTTAAGAAGAAATAAGTCAAATTTAAGAATCAAACAAGCTTAATTATCTACCTTTGGGCTAAGTAAAATAATATTGTTTTTGCTTTGAAATGTGAATATTTGGACTAGAAGACAAACATTCTAAATAAGATAAACCTTTTTTTGCATTAATCTTATCTAAAATCTTCATCTAAAATTTCTTAATTTGTGTTCTGAAGATAAATGAAAGTCTCAGTGTGAATTTAGAAATAGCATGTAACATTTAGTGCATTATTGCCATTGAGGTTTTTATTAAACAGCCCTTGTTATGGGTTTTTGAAAATGACCTTCCATGTACAGTAGTGTGTCACACAGCTGTAAGTGAAGTGAAATATCCAGCTAAGGCTTAAATCTGAAAGTGCACAGTGTTTAAAGCTATTGAATCAATTATAAAAGAGTCGACTCATAGTGCTTCAAACGAATCATCTTGATAATGAGTCTTTAGCCATTTTGGACGTGATGTGGATACAAAACATAAGCCCAAATGGATGATGTGGATACAAAACAAACCTGGGAATATTGAAACCTGCGGCACAGCCCAAAAACACTTCAGCAGATCCCAGTTGAATCAAGTGACGAAGATGCTGATATTACTGAAAGTGTGAGGGGAAAGTTAGTGTTTTCTTCTCTACCCAAAGATGAAACTATAAAGAGTCAGTGGTTGAGGTTTATTTTTCCAAAAATACCACAGCATTATAGCCCAGCCTTGTGCTGTTTCTGTCGTTTTTTTCCTGACGAGTTCTTCTGGAATCTATACGCTTACAGCGGGGGATTTGTCTGCCGTTTGTTAAAGGAAGGATCAGAAAAGACTATTGATGTAAGGGACTGTGTCAGTACATGGATCAGTGGATAATGGATCAGTTTCTTTCTCCATTTCACAAGTGTAAGTAAGTGCGATCAAAATGGTTGCCTCCTTGTTTTCGCTAGGCTGCAAATTATGTATTAAACTATGTTTTGTTACTTGTAACCGCTTGTACTGTATCTGGTTAACTCTTTATATTCTCATATCGCGACTAATGCCATTTTGAAAACGTGTCGTGTGCCGCTTTGTTTACGATTAAAATGCATTTGTGAGCTCGCGTTCCATTGCCGATTGTCGTTGCTATGGCCACCATCAGCTGTTCCTACACACATGCAGCGGTCAATGTTCAAAATAGTTCAGCTTTTGCCACTGTGTGGATTAATACTGAATGTGTGTCATGGTTAAGAATAAAGCAATATGCTGGTGCTTAACCCCCAGGTGTCTAAGACTGTGTATACGCATGCTGACAAGTTTTCACCTCATAACGCTGAAATAAACTATACTTTCAGTTTTGATTGTACAGATGAGATCAATACATCAATCGAATCTGTTAGGTGTCTATTGTGTACACTCACAATGACAACAAACATGTGTGCTTTTTGCAAAATAAGGATAATAAACAGTGTAGGCATTCTGTCTTTTCTCTCTCTGTGAACTGTTTTTAGAAACGTATCAGTAAAATGGGCTGAAACGCTTCGAAACAAAACACACAGACATGAGACACATATCTATAAAAAGCTTGAAGTGTCTACTTTTAAATACAGCGAGTGCATGTTGAAAACAAATACTTTTTGATAAAGTAATCAGTATGAAACCAATGCAATGTCTAGTTTCTCAGTCTGATCTCATTAGAGTTAAAGAGCCCATATTATACATGAAATAGGGTCTTATTTTGGTTGTAAGGGTCTCCAACAACAGTCTAATATGCATGCAAGGTCAAAAAACACTTTCATGGCCTTATAATCTGCATTTATTTTTACCTAATTATCCCAGCGACTCCCATATGAATCGTCTAGTGATTCATTTGTTCCCAAACGCCTCCTTAACGCGAAGCTAAGACAGAGTGAAATGCCCAGCAGCTAATCAACATTATAAAAGTAGTCACAGTGCATACACGCTTAATAGTGTAAGGTGTGGATTTTAACTGCCATTGGGTGAATGTAAATACAAACCATGGACTTGTAAATACAGACCATGGATTTGAAAATACAGACGACTAACTATTTTATTGAGCAAAAACTCCAGAAACTGGTGAGGAGATCTCCTAGCTTGTCACACTCTGCTCATTTCACACACACACACACACACACACACACACATTGCCCTCCTCGGAGGAGGACACAGCGCACGCGCGCACACACACACACACACACATACCCTCCTCCTCGAAGGTCTGTAAACAAAGCGGCATGCGTCGCGTTTTTAAGGTGGCTTTGCACGCAATATGAGAATATAGTGAGTTAACCTACAGTAACCTACTAACATACGAGTGTAACATACAGTACACGCGGTTACAAGTAACAAATCACAACTAAATACATTTGCAAGCTAGAGGAAACGCGGCAACAACTTTAACCCTCTGGGGTCTGAGGGTGTTTTGGGGCTCTGGAGAAGTTTTGACATGCACTAACATTTGTGTTGTTTTCAGTATCTTCAAAAACATATTAATGGCTAAAGTGTGATAACACTGTAAACAGCACAAGTTGAGACCTGAAGAACGCCAGGCAAGGGAGAAACCCAGCTCGACTGTCTGCCACTGCATGTACACACTCTGGACCAGGAGACTGCACTCGTTCGCTCGAAATCGCTGGATATCAGCAGGAGGAACCCTCATCGACTCTCTCAGAAGGCTGTAACAGTCTCTGAAGTGAAAAAGATAGCGTTTCCTTGCTTTCCCTGTGCTTATATGCGGAGTTAATTGCAATAAGGCACACGTGCGCAAGCTTACGCTGCCAACTCATTTGACATTTCATAGGCCCGTTATATACTCTTTCAGACAATTGGCTTTCTGAAACGAAATCCCCATACGTGGATTAAAATCCACTAATAGCATTAAAGTTCCCCATCCGAAGGGGAACAAATGTTCTCTATGTGTTTTACAATCTTGTTTCAGTTACTTCAAAATGTTAGTTTTTCACTAAAACCACGCATACATTTTTCTTTCTCAAAAAAACAAAACAACACATAAAAACATGTTGCTTAGGTGTTATTAGCCCAGTTTGTGCTGTTTACAGTGTTATCACACACAATAATATGTTTAAGACACCGAAAACAACACAAATGTCAGTGCATGTCAAAACTTCTCCACGGCCCCAAAACATCCTCAGATCCCTGGGGGTTAACTGCATTGCTTTAATGCACTTCTGCATTGGGCTCACACCTTTTTACCGTCATTGGCTCTCACACATAAGGGATGGTTTGATATATGAAATTTTCAGATCCCCATATCGTCCCCCTGTGGGATCGCCGATTCATGATACTTTCGCATGGGGGCGCGGCAGTGTTACGTTTTGGTACAGTATAGGCTATATAATATTTGATTATTATATTTAACCATATCTAAAGATATTTAATACCCTTTCTGCTGATTTTTTCACTTATTTAATAACCTACTGAATTTGCATGATGTTTGATCTTGGATAATTATTCAAACCAATGCAAATTACCAAGCTCTTACAGCTAAATAGGCGCTGACACTGAAATTATTTCAAACAAGACTCTGCCACAGTGCGGCGCGGGACAGGATTTGATGGTGACTTCGGGTTCATGCCGTTATCCTCGCCTGCGGGACTCATTTTATTTAATAATGCAATTAAAACATGTAATAGGTCTACATTCATGCGAAATGAGCTCAATATTGTCTTTAAAATCTTCATAGGTTTAACCTCTTGCCGTTGTTTTTGGCGATCAACTATCGTCGATCGGCACAACCCTACTGGGTATTTTACTCTGTCTCACGCTGAATGCTGTCGATCAATGGCAACAGGCTGTCATCAGTCCAATCAACGCAGATTAGCTTTGCGCTAAGGAGGGGTTTGGGAACAATTGAATCACTGGACATTTCATATGGGAGTCACTGGGATAATTAGGTAAAAATAAATGCATATTATAAGACAATGAAAGTGTTTTTTGACCTTGCATGCATATCAGCCTGTTATTTTAGAACCTTAAAAGCTAAATATGACCTTTTTAAATGTATATTAGGAGCTCTTTAATAACCTTTTATGAAAAAATTCAGCCAAAAATGTTAATTTACTAACCATTTACTTACCCTCAAGTGACCTTCATGAGGTTTTTTTCTTATTCTCTTTTTTCTGTTGAACACAAATGATATTATTCAAAACGATTTTTAAAAGTGATAGCCACTGATTTTATTAGAAAGGAAACATAATGATAAAGATTATAATAATAAACAATAAATGTAAGTCTATGGCAACTAGTTTTAAACTTACTTTAAAATATATTTTTTCTTTAAGAGATAAAACACAATAAGCTTTAGTAAAAAATTTAGGGTAAGTAAATGATGACAAGTTTTGGGTGAATTATTTATTTAACAGCAATTTGAACTAAATCAATCGCTTGGACTCACGAAGTATATAAAAATAGATTCTAAATATGATTAATTCTAACTATTCTAAATTAAAGACTGAATAGGAAAATGTTTTTTAGTTGCATGTTGGTTTTATAGCTGTAATGGTACTAAAACCCTTTTGAATTCCACCACCAAAATGTTTTTTTTTTTTTTTTGCAAATGAACCCATTAAATAAGTAGCTTGCATGTTTTTTTTTTTTTTTTGTTTTTTTGTTTTTTATATGTTTTCATAGTTTTGGAATTGAGGAGGGAATGTCATACAGGCAGTCCATGTTTAGTATCTGCCTTCTACTACACAACCGATGAATTGGTGTCAAGATTAGGCACACTACCTTTGACATTATAACAGAGGTTATTCTGATCTTCTTCACAATATACAATTACATGTTTAATTGCATTCATATAATTTGCAATTAGTTTCCCACTGTTGGGTTGCGGCTGGCAGGGCATCCGCTGTGTAAAACTTATGCTGGATAAGTTGGCGGTTCATATCGGTTCACTGTGGCGACCCCTTATTAATAAAGAGACTAAGCCAAAAAGAAAATAAATGAATGAATAATTTGCAATTAGCATTGTTATTTTTCTAGTTTCTGCTATCTTCTCAGATCTATGACCCACTTTAGCGTCATGGCCTACCAGCTGATAACATTGTTTTTTTTTTGTATATTGCTCTTTTCAACTTTCTTAATAAAGACAGTCAAAGAATGCTCTCTTTTGTATTTGCGGAAACATTGATTTGCATGAATATAGCCTTGTGCACTATAATAATGAACTTTAAAACCAGCATGACCTGTTTCTGCAACCCTCATTAGGTCAAATTAATATGCTAAAAACTGATTATACAGTTTGCATTCTTTCTTGAGAAAAAGCCTTAGCGCTCCCAAAGCAAATTTCCCCTTTCCTCAGGAAAAGCAATGCTAAGAAATACAAACCTGTCCACACTGATTGCGCACAGGTTGAATATAGACGCGGTACACAGCATTACATCCATGGTCATCAGTCCATCACAGACAGACACATTCAAGGACCAAACACCCCCTTGGAACTGCAAAGACAGATTATTACTTAGCATTTAGCATATTGTTAACAATTCAATTCGTTTTGTTACAGGTATCCAAATTAGACACAGATATTCAGACTGTCCTTGATTCTCTAAATGAGTCAAACTAACCTAATGAGCCTAACGAGGCAACAACTTGACCGATTTAATGCGGTGGCAACCTGAGGATAATGAGATAAGTGGCCTAAAACAGCCTGAGAAAGATATTCAAGGAAAGAGTTATCTAACCTATACAATCCAATACGGATACACTGGAATACCCTATATTGAGACAACAATATAAAGATGGTTCTAAATAGTTATTTCTGCTAATAAAATATGACTCTAAAATAGCAACCCAGTAAACAATTTTGTGTTTAATAGACGTCTATTAAACATCTAAACGTAGACAGCTTGGCTATAGTAAGACTGAACTTGGGCTGTAAAAATCTAATAGACATCCAAGAATAGCTCAAAACTCAAATAAACAGATTTGACAGACTTTAATTGTGTAAGTCATTCATTTCTCTTTATTTGATGACTAGTCTAGTTTTGGTCTATACTTAGACATCTATTAGATTTTTACTGACAGCCCAAATTTAGCCTTGTTTTAGCCAAGAGGACTATGTTTAAACGTCTATTAGACATCTATTAGACATCTTTTTTTTTTAAATGCTTGCTGGGAACTTACAATAACAAAATACTATTACCACGAAACTATGAGGTATTTTTTTTCTTCGTATAATAATTATATTCGTATTCTATTCCTATTATAATTCTCAGACACATAATTTGTTGTCAAAAATCACTTACCTCAGCATAGACAAACAGGGGTAAAACCAGAACTGCCAGCATCAAATCTGCCACAGCCAAACTCACGATGAAATAGTTTGTCGTCGTCTTGAGGGCTTTTTCCTTGTAAACACTAAGGCACACGAGCACGTTTCCACAGATGATAACAATGATAAGCAATATCCCAAACACGAGCGCGGGAACATTGTAAGTGAAGAGCGCGGGCTGAAGTGTGCTGGAGATATTCGCAGACATTGTCCTTCTTGATCCGGGCGAGGACAGCTTCTTCGGGGAAACTTTTCATAAATATCTCATGTTGTCCTGTCCACTGTGGTCCATCTCTGCGCATCCTGTGTTACGCAGAAGACAAGCCATCTAAACAAGCAGCAGCACCACCCAGATAGACACGTTGAGTGCTGGAGGTCAATCCATCTGCTGTGTCTCTGCTCATATAATACAGTCCTGGAATCGAGGAAAAAGTCGCGAGCTGCATTTAATTTGATATGGGAGTTGCAGTCAATTTGAAACTTTTCGATGTAAAAAAGACAGCAGTATCTCCAGACGCGCGTAATCACAGTGAAGACTGGAGAGAGAGAGACGCGCGCTCGCGCTCAGTCAGTCGCTTGCTCAGAGGCGCTACTACAGTAGCCTATAAGGACTTTCATTTATTATGGCTTGCATAGCGGTTTAAACACACCATAATCAGAACACTGTCATCCTGCAAAGTTTACAACTACAATCTTTAATCTGTTAGTGGATGTTTAAGATATTATTTGTCGATTTACTAATTTACTTATACGGTGGTTCACTCAATGCAGTTATTGAGCGTGTGTGTGTTATATAAACACACATTTTATCGTTTATTATATTATTTTTTTATTTAATTTGTTTGTAAGACACATGAAAAAAGTTATTTGAATCATTAATAATGGTAATATTACATCACTGAATAATTTCTCCAGAGTCCAGATTATTCTCAAAAGTTGTTTTCTATAACAGCTTATTTAACAAACATTAGACAAAGGTTTTGACATTTGCAGATTTGATTTAACACTTTTTTGTTTATTATATTTTCTTAATTAATTCTTTCATTTTCTTTTCGGCTTAGTCCCTTTATTAATCAGGGGTCGCCACAGCGGAATGAACCCTCGACTTATTCAGTATATGTTCTTCGCAGCGGATGCCCTTAAAGCTGCAACCCATCAGTGGGAAACACCCATACACTCATTTGCACATATACGGCCAATTTGGCTATAACCCAATTCACCTGGACTTGGTCTTTGGACTGTGGGGGAAACCGGAGCACACTGAGGAAACCCACGCCAACACGAGGATGTTATAATTTAATTAAAGTTATTTGTAAGTCACACAAACAAAATTGTCATATTTGTCAATTTAATTTTTCTCCAGGTAGGTTTATTTTCAAACATTGTTTTCTATTAAAACATAACTTAAAGTATAAGCAAATAAATGACTAAAAATGTTGTTTTGCCATTTAACCTCCAATAAACATCTTAAAAGGTTCTCATCAAAATAACAGCTTATCTAACAAACATTCAGCAAATGTTTTCATTTAAAGCACAACAGACTTTATTTTTATTTTTCCTTATCAAATTAATTTACTTATTGGATGATTTTACTCAATACAGTTATTGAGTGTATTGTATAAACACTTTTTTATTGCTTATAATATTATATTTGAATTCATTTGTAAGACACATGAATAAAAGCTATTTGTATTATTATTATTATTAATATGATTATTATACTGTATTATTATTATCTCCAGGTAGGTTTATTCTCAAAAGTTGTTTTATATTGGCACGTAAAGTATAAGCAAATAAATAACTAAAAATGTTGTTTTGTCATTTAACCTCCAAAAAACATCCTAAAAGTTTCTCATAAAAAAACAGCAAAATAACAAGATAACAGCTTATTTAACAAACATTCGGCAAATGCTTTAATTTGAAGGACAACAGACTTTATTTATTTATTATTATTATTATTGTTTTTTTTTACAAAAATTTGTTTACTTATTGGCTGATTTTTGTTCAATACAGTAATTGAGTTTATCATTTATTAAATTTTATTTAAGTTATTTGCAAGAAACATGAATAGTTGCCACATTTAGTTACTGAATGTTTCTACGGGTAGGATTATTCTTCAAAGTTGTTTCTTATTGGCATTTAACTTAAAGTATAGGCAAATAAATAATTAAAAATGTTAGATTTTTTCTGTAGGTTTTGGCATTTAACCTCAATTAAACATCTTTAATATCATAAAAAATGGAAAGCAACCATTATAAGTCAAGGGAGAAACATTTGGGGAATTTAACTCAGGGGTGCTCAACCCTGTCCTTGGAGATTTACATTCCTGTAGATTTCAGTTGCAACCCATATCAAACACACAAGCCTGTAATTATCAAGTGCTGTTCAGGGCCTGTTTAATTGGTTCAGGTGTGTTTCAGGGTTGGAGTTGAACTTTGCTGGAAAGTAGATATTCAGGAAAAGGATTGAGCAGTCCTGAATTAACTGAATGGACAAAATGATACTTCAAATATTATTTTGTTTGCTACAGAAAAAATCTAATTATATAGGTCTATATGCAATTTAATAGACATTATATAAATAGAATGTTCATTTAAAAGTCCCATAAAGAAAAGTGCATTTTAAATGATATTTAAATTAATTAAATTATATTTTATCAATCTTTTGAAAAAATTCTTTTTTAAAGATGCTCATATTTTAATGTGCTGGATAACAAATGCACAGTTCTTGGTAATGATTTAACTGTACTGTGCATTATTGCGAAATTTACAACCAGGGAGGCCTGGTTGAGGTTTTGTTGTTGCAATAGGTGGAATATAAAACTGTTTATCTCAATCCGCAAAACAACAAACATTTGGCAAATGCTTATGTTTCATTTGAAGTGCAACAGACTGGAACATTATGACGATTTTTGATATGATAAACTATGGTTATATAATATGATAAACATATGTTTAAGGTAAATTACTTTAAAAAAAAGAGCAAATAAGAGGTGAGCAGTAAAAAATGTTTCCACATTAAAGCTATATTTAATGTATTTGAAGATTTTTGCCAGAAAGCTAGCTACTTTTAAAAAAAATCTATTTATTCATTCATTTATTTAATTATATATCCAGGAATGTCCAACTGAGATACAACATCTCTTCTACCACGGAGTCCTGGTCAAGAAAAGTCGCATAGAACAGAGTTGCAAAAATATTCTGAGCTACAAGCAACAGTTAGTTTATTTATTATAACTAGTTGGTAAACTAGTTAATTTAAGCTTTTGTCCTTATATGGGGAATACACTGGAAAATGACATATGTAAATGACTGCAATTAGTTGTAACCTTGAGAGCAGAGAACGGAGGTGGAGCTCCAAATGCATTTTTGTTTAAACAAATGAATGGTTAGACAGGCAGGGTCAAACGGCTAAAAAATGGGGTAATTCAAAGCGTAATCCAATAGAGAAGTCAAAGGTCAGGGGCAGGCAGTAAGCAAACAATAATCCAGAAGCCTGCCCAAAAGCAAACCCGAAACAAGAAATTGCTTGGTAATGCACTCTACAGAGGGACATGACTGAGCAATGGTAAGTGAGAATAGACTGTGTTTATAGTGTGTATGTGTATCAGTTTGAATTATCTGCAGTTGTTTGTCTCTACATCATTGTTTTGATCGATATCTGCAACAGGTTATCAGTCTGAATGGTCACAAAACATGATGGGATGTATAGTCTGGGTGAATAGCTGGAACAGTGTGTGTGTATATGTGTACATATACAGTTAAAGTTAGAATTATTTTTTTTAAGGTCTGGACCTGACCGATTTCTTGCGGCGCGTGAATAAATTTCTGAATAAATCGCGGGAGCGGTCGGTTACTTTGGTATAAATTGAACGTGAGCGGGAGGTCTAACAATGTGTGTGAACGAGAGAGCGTGATGCTGTGTTTAGCTTGTTTGTTGCTGTCTATGTGTGTGAATGAGAGAGAGAGCTTCGTGCTGCCTATGTGTGTGTGTGAATAGCAAAGAGTGTGATGCTGTCTGTGTGTCACTTGCTTGGTGCTGTGTGTCTGTTTGTTTTTACAGACAGCTTGTTATATAGGCTGTCTGGATTCTGTACAACTGGGTGGTTGTTGGTTTTGTTAGCGGCAACGGGTGCAGCGGGTGGAAAAAGGGGCGGGTCAGGCAGCGGGACAACAAACGCTAAATATAAAGGGGAGCGGTTGGGTTCGGACTAAAACCTAGCGGAAACGGGATTAAAAATTTAGTCTCGCGCAGATCTCTATTTCTAGGGAACACAAAAATAATCTGGCTGGGATTTTCTTTATTGTGCTGTGACTATTGCTCAGTGAAGTTGTAGGTGATTTTTGTAAGGTGAGTTTTTTCTTTATTCACCACCCTTATTACCAGCCTGATCTCACGAGAAAACGCAAGTATTTTACGTTTTGCCAGTTTAGTGGCTAATTCAGTCGTTCAGTCGAGTTCAGTCGTACGAAATGGTACGATTTTAAAAAGGAGGCGTGGCACCTGACCCCACCTCTAACCCCAACCGTCATTGGGGGATAAGCAAATCGTACTAAATTGTACGAATTAAATCGTACGAATTCATACGAATTTGCCACTAAATGAAAAAGTTACGAATTGCCGTGAGATTGTGTTGCTTATTACACGACTCCTTTGTCTTTTGTATATTGTTAGACTAAATAATCATTGCCTAAATCAGGAGAGGCCAACCCTGTTCCTGGAGAGCCACCTTCCTACAGATTTCAGATGCAACCCATATCAAACACACCTGCCTGTAATTATCACGTGGTGTTCAGGTCCTAATTAATTGGTTCAGGTGTGTTTGATATGGGTAGCAACTGAAATCTGCAAAAAGGTGGCTCTCCAGGAACAGGTTTGGCCACCCCTGGCCCAAATAGTTGGTTACTTTTTTTCATTGTGTTTAGGGCTATTTTCTGTAACTATATTTATAGTGAAATATGTATTGCAGAAATACAAAATATCACAATTTCAATTTTTGGTATATAGCCCATGGTTCAAATTCATTCATTAATTTTCTTGTCGGCTTAGTCCCTTTATTAATCCGGGGTCGCCACAGCGGAATGAACTGCCAACTTATCCAGCAAGTTTTTATGCACTGGATGCCCTTCCAGCTGAAACCCATCTCTGGAAAACATCCACGCACACTTACACTACGGATAATTTAGCCTACCCAATTCACCTGTACCACCAACTGAGCCGAGG